ATATATATATATATATATATATATATAAAATAAAAAACTCTTGAATATTGGTGTAACTCTTAGGCTAAAGGGAGTGTCACATCAGCTTTTTGAGTACCATCTCGTTTTTTTTTCATTTAACACATACTCTTAGCATTTGCTAAGGAGTGGTAACACTTATTAAAAAAAACATTTTTTGTTTTTTATTTAAATAAAAGTGCAAATTGCAATCCACTCAAATAAGCTTCCACCAATCAGATTACACAAACATTTTTCTCTCATCTCGTCGCATGCTTAACGAGGGTAAGATAGCAAGCCCCCTAACAAGTGTCAGGGGTGGTGTTCCGACAACAATAGCGAGCATAGCGAGGGGTGTTAACACCCCCACTCCTCTTAGTCTTAGAGCTAGTACAATGTTGTGTTTAGTAAAGAAAATTGGAGATTTAGTCTATTGAGAAAAATGGCAAAGACGTCCTAGATACTTTGATGTATACTGTATTGAAAAAAAAAAGTGGTGATGGACGTTCTAATGATGTGTTTAATTGCATATTTTAAACAAAATTGCGAAAATGGTTCTTATGGTTGTCTAAATTATATGATTTTGGTTAAAAAATATTTGATGGTATATCTATGGTCAAATTTTAGATATTTCGTGTGGTTTTGGACTCTATAGTTGCATTTTTTTTAATTTTAGTTCATACTCAACTTGAAATGATGGAATTGCTTTTTAATAATTCTTTTTTAATTTGTTTTAATTATTTTCTATATATTTAATTATAAAACCAAAAAAGAAAAAACATGCCCACCCCACCTTGCTTCTTCTAACATACCCACCTACATTTACTCTCTCTCTCTCTCTCTCTCTCTCTCTCTCTCTCTGTGTGTGTGTAGGACCACCACCACTGCCTACCGGACACCACCACCTATTATGGTAGAAAACCCTAGTGTGGCCGTCGGAAAAACGAGATTTGTCATGGAAAGTCAGAAAAACTGGATCTCCCTTCGTCTCTAGAAAGTACCACGAGCGCTATCCTTCTTCCTTTTCAGTGGTTCCGATCCACAAAAATTGACAAAAGTTTTAGAAACCACCACCAGCGTCGCCATTCTTCTTGCTTCGTCTTTAGAAGCCACCATCGGCATAATTCTTCTTCCTTCGTCAGTGGTTCCAATCTACATTTCCGAGGGCTAGAGTTTACATTTTTTAGGGTTAGGGTTTTCTGGTGGTGATGGATAGTGGTGACGAACAATAATGGTAGACGACAACGATGTTGGTGGTCGGATCCGTTCTATAAACAATATCCTATATGAAAGCTTAGACAGAGGACAACAATGACGAGTGGTAGACGAATTCGCCTGTTAGGATTTTCCTGTGTCACACCCCCGGACCAGACGGCAGAAACGTCCAGAGGCGGGTGACTACATTGTGCAGTATCATAACAATTGAATATAAATGAAACAGAGCAATCCAAACATCATACATTGAGATAACAAACTTACATTGTTTACATATTGTATTTGTCCTTCGAATTAGACAAAAGAGACATAAGCAGAAAATTCCAAAGTACAGCTAAATAGTCCTGCATCCGCGTCCCTTGTTACCTGCTTACCAGATCCCTGAGAATACAAGTCGTTTTGAAAAGCGTCAACTAAAAAGTTGGTGAGTTCATTAAATTTTTTGTATAAGATAGTTTTACACTTGTTTAGAATCGTTCTCATTGTACTTTCAGAAAATCCGATATTTTCTATGAAATCGTTTGAAGCCTTGCTTTGATAATCATGGATATATGTGTGCATGTCGTTACTTTTGTTCATCCTTATAAGGAGTGATTATGAAAAGTATTGTAATTTGTAAAGGCGAGCTGTGTTCGAGAATAGTTCTTTGGTGTAGTAATAGTCAACCGTTTCCAGAAAATCCCCTATTTTCAAAAAGAGAATTTAGTTGAAAATCTTGTTTTTCTTATCGAGGAAAATTGAGTGTGCGTTCTAGGTTATAGTTATCGAAATCGTATAAAATCGTTTTCTCCAGAAAATCCTATATTTTCTGCAATAAAATATTCGTAAGTTCTGTTTCCAACCGTGTATACTTGCATATGTGTGTGTTAGTTTATCGTTTTCAAAATCGTTTACAAACATTTTCCATAAAGTCCTACGCTTTCTGATTTGTAAAATAGCAGTATTGGGACTCTATACTTGTTAGGTGAAAGAATCAACATGGCGATTGTGGACATTCTACGCAATGAAAAAGGACAGTCAACGCAACAAATGCGGACCATCACCTATCATGTGTAGGACAGTTAACACAACGTGCCAAATTTTATTTATAAGGTTTTCCTTGTATAAATTTCTAGTTATCATAATATATTCTAGTGAGTCGTTATAACCATACTAATATGACGGAAGCATGTTTTGGCGTTTCTCAGGTGCCCTCGTTTTGATAAAGACATTTGTCACCCTAGACTGGCCGATCTAGCTGTAGCGAACAGCGAAGGTGCGGGGTGTCAACCCCGT